TTAAATCTTGTCCGTCTAATCACAATAAATTCTTATTAAATATTAAAATATTACAATAATTAACATTTAAAATATTTAAAATATTAAATGATGTTCTTTATCGAAATATTCGATTTACATTAGACCATCATTTTTCACGACATGTTTCAGTTCCTAAAAGAACTATCTTCAGGTGTATATAATTATATAAAGATTCAAATCAATAATAACTTAAATACAATTATTGTTGATTTGAATCTTTATATAATTATATACACCTGAAGATAGTTCTTTTAGGAACTGAAACATGTCGTGAAAAATGATGGTCTAATGTAAATCGAATATTTCGATAAAGAACATCATTTAATATTTTAAATGTTAATTATTGTAATATTTTAATATTTAATAAGAATTTATTTTGATTAGACGGACAAGATTTAAATAATATATATTAATTAATTTGTCTAATTATAATATTCATTGCTCTTACTGTGACCCCTTCGATCACAATCGATTATTTACAGTCGCAAAATATAATCATCCATCGAAGGAATCTGTAGCCATTCTGATTTCTTCGAATACTTTTGAAGCAACCCATGTGTTTAAAACGGTAAATTAGTTATGATGAGTCATGTGTTTTCTTGTCTGAAGATTGCCGTCTCCTGGGTCCTAGCGCCGTGTAATCTGGTATAAGTTTATCGACGTTTCAGTGGTTTTTGCTGCCAGATTACACGGCGCAACAGCCCAGAAGACACCCATCTTCCAACTCACCACCGTGAAAACCTTAAATCCTACATGATACTAAACGAGTTCAATTCAGCCACATGCTCAGAACCTAAGATCTACATTAATATTATCTTCACATCTAGAAAATTGTTCTCTGTGATTACTGTTGCAGTTTTTATATACTGTCCCCATCTGAACTACGTGGACAATTTGCCTATAACTCCGAGATGTGTATCAATTACTTTATTATAACATTCGTTAGGTTTCAATATTTTTATACATTGCAGTTTATATTCAAAATGCAATTTGGTTACCAAGTTCAAAATTGTATGGGAAACATTTTCGACAAACGTACAAAGCTTCTCAATTTTCCCCACCTAGAGGACAGTACGTGGCTTCTTGAGTCAGTCCCTGAGTGTAGCCTCTGCTCTCTGACTGTATGACGTGTTCAGGGTCCAAACTTCCAGCGACCAGTCTGACAGCTTATGCACAGATAAGCGTAGTGACTAATTCGTCATTCTCTAATAGTCGAAATACAATGGAGAGTGAACGTCTTAAGAAGGCAGCAGTACTGAAGACACTGGACTAAGGAGGACAGGTCGTATGTAAGTCAAAGCAGCTGTCGAATGCAGGTACGTGACACTGAAAAAGACGTCGTTGGTTTTAACTCAAAAATGCAGACTTGTTTTCTTTAATCACAGCAAGTTATTTGCAACACGTTCATAATGTAAAGGCGTAGGGAGGTCGTGGCTGCCGTTCTCTGTCCGTGTATACCACCTCCGAAACTATTTAATCGTTGTTGGATAAAATTTAGTCCGCG